GACTTTTCCAGAATATCTTAGAAGTTGAATCATTCAAAGCACGTAGGCTTTTTAGTCTGGCTTCTTTCACTTAAGAGTAATGCAGTTGAGATTCATCTACGTTGTTGCATGTTATCTAGAGTGTATTTTTTAATTGTTTAGTAGTATTCTGTGGTGTACTGTGGGTACACCACAGTAAAATGGAATGTGTATCCTTTCACGGCTTGATAAACATTTGAGTGGTTTCCATTTTTAGGGGACTATGGAATAAAGGCAATAATAATAATAACAAAAAACTGACTATATGCATATAGATTTTTCTTTTTTCTTGGATAAAATGCTAAGATGGGGATTGCTGGGTCATATGGTAAATGTGGGTTTAACATTGTAAGAAACCAAATTATTTTCCAAAGCAGTGTGCACCATTTTGCATCTGTAGCGGCAATGTACCAGTGTTCTAGTTGCTCTAAACCCTCACTAGCACTTGTTATTTTGTTGTTGTTGTTGTTGTTGTTATTACTATTTGTTAAATGTTAACAGTTACATATTGGTATCACATTGCAGTACTAGTTTGCTTTCCCCTAATAACTAATGATGCTAAGGATCTTTAATGTGCTTATTTAAATCCATATTTTTTTCTGTGAAGTGTATGTGCAAATCTTTTGCCCAGTTGTAAACTGATTTTTCAAATATTATTGCACCATGAGAGAGTTATTTTTATATTCTGGGTATTAGCCTCTAGAAAACATGTATTTTGCAAATATTTTCACCCAGTCTGTAGCTTTTCTTTTCAATTTCCTGACAGTGTCATTTTAAAAGCAGAAGGTTTTTAGTGAAACCCAATTTATTATTATTTTTATTTTATGAATTGTACTTTTAATGTTGAATCTAAGAAATCTATACCCAACCCAAGGTCACTAAGATTTTCCCTTGTATTTTCTTAGAGCAGTGTTATAGTTTGTGGTTTTAGATTTAAGTTTGTGTTTAATCTTGAGTTAATTTTTTTATCTGCTTTTAAGTATGAATTGACACTTTTTTTTTTTCATTCTGGTTTTCTTTTTCAAATGGATTTGAATTGCTCCAGATCTGTTTCTTGAAAAATTCTATCCTTTCATTGCTGAGTTTCCTTGGCATCTTTGTGAAAAGTCAAGCAACCATGTATACATGGGTCTATTTTTGGGCTCTCTCTTCTATTCCATTCATGTATTTGTCTATTGTAATGTCAATATCCCACTTCCTTGAATATCTGTTAGTTTTATAGTAAGTCTTATAATCTGGTAGTGTATCTCAAATTTTGTTCATATTTTTCAAAACATTTTTGCTATTTAATTTCTTTGCATTTCAATATACATTTAAAGATAAGCTTTCCAATTTCTACTCCCCCCCCACAAAAAAAAGATTGCTGGATTTTAACTGGGATTGTTTTCAGTCTATATATAAATTTGGGAAAAATTGACATCAAATATTTTAATTCGTAAATTTTTAAATATAATGTTCTTAATTTTTTCTTAAGAATTTGTTATATTTACACCAAAATATTTTACGTTGTTGGTGCCAGTATAACAATGGTACTTTAAAATCTCATTGATAATTTTTTTATCATTAGCATATAGAAATATAATTTACTTCTGTATACTGACCTCGAATCCTGTGACTTTGCTAAACTCACTTTTTAAAAACATAAATTATTTGAGATTTTCTACCTAGAAAGTCATGTCACCTGTAAATAGACATTTTAATTCATTCATTCTGACCTAAGGTTGGTGCAAAAGTAATTGCAGTTTTTGCCAGTTCTTTTAATGGCAACCTGATTTGCCATTAAAATCAGGTTGATTAACTTTTGCTGCAACCTAATAAATGCCTTGAATTCCTCTCCTTGACTTATTATATGTGCTAGGACCATCAATAATAGATTGAATAGGAGTAATGAGAGCAGACATTCTTGCCTTTATCCTGAACTTAGAGGGAAAGCAGTTATATCCTTGACTATTCAAAGTATGACATTAGCTATCAGATTTTCACAGATGCCCTTTATACCATTGAGGAAGTTCTCTTACTTCCTAGTTTGCTAGTTGATATCTGATATCAACAATAATAGCAGCAGTAAAATGAAATTGAAAACAAAATGAAAAGAAAGCTTTTAAAAAAGACAACATCAGGCCGGGCGCGGTGGCTCAAGCCTGTAATCCCAGCACTTTGGGAGGCCGAGGCGGGTGGATCACGAGGTCAGGAGATCGAGACTATCCTGACTAACATGGTGAAACCCCGACTCTACTAAAAATACAAAAAACTAGCTGGGCGTGGTGGCGGGCGCCTGTAGTCCCAGCTACTCGGGAGGCTGAGGCAGGAGAACGGCGTGAACCCGGGAGGCGGAGCTTGCAGTGAGCCGAGATCGCGCCACTGCACTCCAGTCTGGGGGAGACAGTGAGACTCCGTCTCAAGAAAGAAAAAAAAAAAAAAAAAAGAAGAAGACAACATCAATAAATTAGGGTAACCTCATAACTGGTACTAGTAGGTCTAATAGTCATGTTTTACATGTCCTGCTTTCTCACAACTTCACCTTCTTTCCTAGAAAAACATGGCTGATCTACATTTTTCAGTATCTCTAGTTTGTGTGAGAAAATGAAAATATTACTTTTTTCACTCTCACCTTTTTACTTTTCTGTTAAAAAAAAAAAGTGTTAATCTCCTGTCTCAATGAATGACACTAATGGCTTTATTCATATCAGAAAGCTGGAAATCATCCCCAAGGCTTTAACTCTCAACCTTATATCTAAATCATATTGAATTTACCTCATAGTTGATCCCCCTTTTAAAGCTCCATGCCAATCACTGCCTAGTTCAAGTTCTCATCTTCTCCCTGTCTTATATCAGAGGTCACTTTACTGATCTTTAGGTTTATAAATGATCATCAGGCTTTCAATTGAATCATGAGACTTAAGTTATATTTCAGTCTTAAATTATTCAATGTGTAGTCCTGATGCTTTCAAAGTAATGCCCATGCAGCTTTTCTCTGCTTATAAGGCCTACTCTGCATGATCCTATATCTGTTAGTCCCATATCTGCCCAGTGAGCCTCACTTGGAGATGAAAAAAAAAAAAAAAAAAGTACCTTTGGCATTGTAACTTAAGCGGTACAGATTTCTCATATGGAAAAAAGGAGTATTCGCTGTTCTGAAGACACTGCTCATCTGACTGAGAAAATAAAGAAGAATGTTTCATGCAGAAAATAGTCCTTAGTCCTTAGTCCTTCATGCAGAAAATAACCTCATGTGAAGATGAACCTCAATGCTAAAAATAGATACAGGAGGCAAGAAGACCAATCACTTGATTACTGTTTAATTAATAAGTCAGAGATTAATTACCAGGTCTCTAAGTACTTGAAACTATTTGTAAATTCTTAGTGCCAATGTAGTAGCTCCCCTCTGTATTCCCACGGTCACGGTAGTTCAATGCTCTAGCTTCTCAACCTCAGTACTATTGACATTTGGGGCCAGATAATTCTTCTTTGTGGAGGGCTGTCTCATGCATTGCAGGATGTTTAGCAGCACCCCTGACCTCGCCCTCGACATGTCAGTAGCATCCCACTCCCCAACAATGTGATAACCAAAGATGTCTCCGAACATTGTCAAATGTCCACTGCAGGGCAAGATTGCCTTGGATGGAGAATCACTGCTCTAAGTGGAATGATGTTCTGTGCTTAAAATGATGACAGAAAGTCTTGGAGAAAGAAAGTCTAAGGGAGAGAGTTGGTAGGGACCTCAGTTAAAACATACCAATACACAGGGATTTTGGCTAATGAAATAAGGAAGGCAGAGGAAGCCAGCCTGGGTCCCTGCAGGGTTAAGATCAGAGCAAGCAGTGAAAGGTACATGTGATGTATAGAACAACTTCTCTACAGCCACGAAAAATTGTTACACTCTCCTGGATGCATCTGAAGTTTACAGCCTCATCTCTTTGCACATAATTTTTCTTTCCATGAAATATTCTATGCCATCTTCATGGGATTGTGTAAGTTTCACTGGTAGAACAGGAAGTAGAGGTGATACATATTAGAGATGGTGAGTAAAATGGTAAACAGTATTTACAATGTATATATAATTTTTATAAGCCAGTATCATCTTTGCTTTTTAACTAAGCAACTTCTGCTCTGTATCTCCATAAATCCACTGAATTGTCAGATTCCCTCTTCTTCTGTTGTGTCCCTAGAATAAAATTTTATTTTAAGCTATGGCATTAATGTAAACAAATATTTCATCTATTTCCATTTTAAGTTCTGGAAATACTAAAAGTATAGATATTTAATGCACTAGTCTCTAACCTAATGCTTTTCAGAGAGGTTAACAATCTATAAATGAATACGTATGCTCATTTCATTCCCTGATCAAAGAAAACACAGATATATAACACATATATATGTATATATGGAACATAAATATAATAGAACTATATTTGACCTTTAAAATTCTGGTTTAAAGTGTTAATGCATCGCATATGCAAAACAGCATGTACCACTGGTTTAAAGTAAAAGCACACAGACACACACACACACACACACACACACACACACACACAGAGAGAGAGAAAAAGGTGAGATTTACATTTGAAATATATTCGGGGTTAAAATGACATGATTCCATTGACATTCTAATTTCATCCCAGGCCTATCAGTAGGAAATTCACATGAATTAGTAATAACTGTGTTTAGCATTGAGGCTTTCCTATGTGGATAACAGCAATTAGAAATTCAGGAATGCTGGAATGTACTCATGAACTAATCAATTGAGATGCCCAGTGGTTTCTTTCTCTTAGAATCTTAGCAAGGTTTGCCATCTTGGCTTTGTACTTCATAGGAGTACTTATTTGTTGACTGACTGAAAGAGTATTTCAGACCTTAGTTAAAAATGTCCACAATAGAAGTCTGATTAATTATTATGTGATGGAAACATGATGCTTAAGTGATGGCACTTTAAGTCATGGTACCTTTCTCAAATATGCTTACAACACATCGTAACCACTTACTGTCTCCCCTGCAGAGTAGAGGCCCCAGTTTATAAGCTGCTTCTGAATGCAGTCGGCCTGTGTCTGTAATCACGATCTTAGTCACTGGAAGATGTTCTTTATAAGAAAGCAATCCAGTGTCATTGGTCCTAAAAAACAATAGCAACAACAAAATTTTAAAAGAAATTTTAATAGTCCTTATTGCATTGCAAAACTAAGATGTTCTGAACTAAATTTCCACCCACAAAAGAGTAGGGATCCAGTCAATCATTGGAGCACATAAAAACAGAATATTATTATTATTATTATTATTATTATTATTATTATTATTTTGAGACAGGGTCTCACTCTGTCTCCCAGGCTGGAGTGCAGTGGCACAATTTTGGCTCACTGCAACCTCCTCTTTCTGGGTTCAATCCATTCTTGTGCCTCAGCCTCCCAAGTAGCTGAGATTACAGATGTATACCACCGCACCCAGCTAACTTTTGTATTTTTGGTAGAGTCGGGGTTTTGCAGTGTTGGCCAGGCTGGTCTTGAACCCCTGGCCTCAAGTGATACATTTGCCTCAGCCTCCCAAAGTGCTGGGATTACAGGTGTGAACCACTGTGCCTGGCCAAAACATAATGACATTTTAATGTCTCTTGTAGAAAAATGTAATAGAGAATATAAAATATAGCATACGTTAAAAATAGAACACAGTTGGAGATTTTTTAATTCAATGGACAATTTTCTACATTTTTACTGGAATTGGTTAATACATTAACATTTAGTGTGATGATTGATACTGTAGTTTGAGGTCTACCATTTTGCTCTTTCATTTCCCCCATAGGATTTCTTTTCATTTTTTGAAATGTTGTAGCAATTTATTTATTTTATTTTATTATACTTTAAATTCGGGATACATGTGCAGAACATGCAGGTTTGTCACATAGGTATACACGTGCCATGGTGGTTTGCTGCACCCATCAATCCATCATCTGCATTAGGTATTTCTCCTAATGCTATCCCTCGCCTAGCCCCCCACCCCTTGACAGACCCTGATGTGTGATGTTCCCCTCCCTGTGTCTGTATGTTCTCATTGTTCAACTCCCACTTATGAGTGAAAACATGCAGTGTCTGCTTTTCTGTTCCTGTGTTATTTTGCTGAGAATGATGGTTTCCAGCTTCATCCATGTCTCTGCAAACGACATGAACTCATCCTCTTTTATGGCTGCCCCTCTATATGATTTCTTGTACTTCTGTTTTCCTTTGCTGCCTCCTCTTGGTTTATTCCATAGATTTTGTATTTCATTTTGTTTTCTCTATTGACTTTTTAGCTATATTTATTGTATTTCCATGTTTGCTTTACAGATTACAAAGTAAATTCTTAATTTATCACAGTCTATTTAGACATTATGTCTTTTAACAATGTAAAATGTCAGAAGCTTGCTAAGACGTAATTCATTTAACACTGCTCCCCTCCACACATATATTCTTTTTTCTATTGTAATATATTTTAAATCCATATGTTACAAACTTTATAATAAAAATAAAGTGAATTTAATGTTTTAACTAAGAAAATAATTTAAACACTGGCTTTTACATTTACCAACATATTTGCAATTTCCAGTGCTTTTCACTTCTTCTTGAAGATCTGAGTTTTCATCTGTGGTATTTCTCTTTAGCCTGAAGAATTTCTATTAGAATTTGTTGTTTCAGATGCTCTTTTCAATTCTAAAATTTACATTTGGTTCCATATTATAGTTCTCACTTATCTGCTTAAAATACCCTTTGTTTACACATTGTGATTATTTTTACCTTTAAGTCTTCAAATATTTTTATAATAGTTGCTGTAAAGTATCTTTCTGCCAATTCAAACATCAGTAACCCAAGGTTGGTTTGTAATAACTGTTCTTAATTTCTTGACTTTAGATGAAAATGTACTCTTCCTTGAATATTCAGTAAATGTTATAACATGCTAGATATCATGGATACATTGTAAAGATTCTGGATTTTGTTATTCTTTAAAGATTTCATTTTTATTTTCATAGGCAGTTAAATCACAGCCTTATCACAATAAATTGCCATTGCTTGGTTTGATAGCTCATTAGGTGGGGCCTGTGTGAATTTTCCTAATTTTCAGTGCTCTCTCTTATATCTGGGATATAGTCTTTGCGATAAACACATGGGCAGTGTCTGCCTACATTTGGTTACTTTCTGCTCATTTCAAGTAGTTGTTTTTACAACATTTTTTTTCCGAGATTTACAATTATCTGAGAAGGGTTAGCTCTATGCAAGTTACTTGACCATTAGCAGAATTTAATATGAGAAGTTTTACAATCTTATTTTTAAAAGTCATTTTTAATTAGAAATATGTTATAGAGGCATTGGAGAGTTATTGATGATTAGGTAATTTTTTATTGTTGTTAAGCGTTACTACTAGCATTTTATTTACATTTTAAAATACAGTATTACTTTGTAGGCATTTTTTTTGTGAAGGTAGTGATAAGAAAAGGGTGCCTTCCAAAGGGAGTAGAAATTTGAAAAATGAGAGTGCAAGAGAGACAATATTCTTCATAACAAACATGTAACACTAAAAGTGCAATTCTAAAAGAAATACACACATACACACACAACATAATCTTGATGTTTCCCAACTAAATAAATGAAATATTATCTAATTCAAATTATGACCTCAAAAGAGCAGATTTATCACTGTAATCAATGTGCATCCTGTAACAAAATCACCCATATTACATCCAGATTGACTAGTACTATTTGTTAAAAGTAAGTCTTCTGTACAGGTCTAGTTGCTTAGCAATGTAACATATACATAAGTTATGCTGAAATGTAAATATAGACGTTTAAAATATTTTCGCTTTACAAATAATAAATAAGGGCAGTATACATGCCAACTCTAGTCTCAAATTCTGTCAATGTCTTTTTTAAACTTTTCAGATAAAGAACACATGCATAAGCTTCTTTTCTGCTTAGAAGAATATTTGTAATTTGATTTTAAAATTCCTAAAATGTTACAGATTTATTTTTTCAAAATATAATCCACAGAACATTAGTTCTTTGTAGTATGATTTGTCTTTTTAAAAATATAAAAGAATTGCATGTTAAAATAATTGTAGTAAATTCTAAGTAGATAATTTTAAATGTTTTATAGGTAGATTATTGAAGAAATGTGCTTTGGCTGTAAATATATTTTTAAGATAACAGAATACCTACTTATATATAGTTTTAAAAGGAATAATAATTAATTCCCCATGTAACAGGTATTTCTGTTTGATTATAAAATTAAAATGTACATGACTTATGGTCCATTACAGAAAATAACTCAAAAAGGCATTAACTTAATACTAAGGACTATATTGTCTATACCATGTTTCATTAAAACATACCTTTATTTAATTACTTCATTGCACTAACTTGTTCAGTATCTGGCTAGCTATACATACTTTGAGTGATTAATTTTTTAATGAACTTTTTCTTGCATAAAGAAATCATATGGAAATCACCATTCATTCCGGTCAGCATCACAATTGCAGTAATACTGAGAATCAATGCAGTTTCCCTCTAATCCACAAGTACATTTTTGAAGATCAGGCGAAGAACCTCCCCAGTAGGTTTGCGTTTCATTGGTTCTTCCTACCCACCAACTCAGAGGGGTTCCATCTGAAAGACAAACATGAGAACTGTGACATCTGCTTTATGTCCCACCACCTTCTCTCCCAGTATAATTCCTTTTCTTCCAAAATCATTAAAAAGAATAAAAGGAGAAAGAGATTTGATTTAAGGATATGCAAAACAGTTTAATTGCTGGCACTTCCTTAAGAAAACTTTTTAAATAAAAAGTTATTATTTAGGCTTAAATGACCGATACATTTGTTCTTGGGTAGAAACGAAACGAGCGGTTCCTATTTAATTTAGGCATGATAGTAAAAAATGGATTGAGAGCGGCTCACATATACAATTTCTTTAAAAATAATTTTGAAACAAGTTAGCATCAAAATATAAATCATAGTAATTAACGTACCAAAGCAAAATTGATTTGAAATCATGAAATGCCCATTAAAGCATTATGGAATGTTACGTAAAGTCCCTGATTTATCTCAATAAATTTATTCTCTAAAAATATCCTAGCTCTTTAATAAACGTTAGGCATGATTTGGCACTCCCTTGTCATGATTTAAGATTTATTTGGAAGTATATATTTTATCTTCCATTTAATGGCTTGGCTATTTATTTGAAGTCTACAGAAATAACACTGAAAAATCTTCATGCTGGAAGCGAATATTACACTCAAAAGAAGTTTCCCTCAGTGAAATGCATCTCTTCCTACAATAAATGTTCAGCTACCAGCTCCTTCTGAGTTAAGACTAAACATGATGCCAAGGAACTCGAGCAAGGAATAGACACAACATCTAGGCAAGGATTTTCAGAGAAGGACGTGAAGCATGTAGCCAACCTATCACGAAAAAAATAAAAAGTATGGAGGAAAAATTGTAGTCATCTGAGAATCAGGGCATGAGAAGAATGTAAGCAACATAGAATCAGTCAGCTTCTCAAAGGTGCTTGATCATTTTTCTGTCGACTTTCAAACTTTTAAGTTGTCACCATTAGCCCTACTGAGAATCTGGGATTTTTACTAATTTCTCCTTTGCTTACAAATGCCAGTGTTCATTTTAACTTACTATTAGTCCCTGTGCTAATGCTGACAACCTCTCTCCCAGGGTTACTATGCATGCCAGTCTGGCCACGTCAAAACAAAAACAAAAACAAAAAACCAGCAAAGAGTTATTAAAAGCTGAGTTATGCATAAATGCATTAATATGAAGAATCTTCATCTTTTTTTAATTACATCATTAGCCCTTCACCATAAGGTGAAAATTACTTGAAATACTTAATAAATATATTTCAATACACTGCTTAAAACATTGTTTTCATAGATTAAAAAGAAAAATAAATTGTTATTCTTAAATACTGAACTATATTTCCACATCTAAATTTCCTGTCTTCCCTATAAAATAGAAATCACTGAATGTTTTTTAAGGTATCAGACATTGGTTCAATCCAAGACTTTTAAAGAAAATGTACTAAGGAATTTAAATAACTATAGGAATGAATTTTTAAAATCCTGAGAAATAAAAATTAAAGGTAAAAAATACCCGTGGATATGGTGGAACATTCCACCTCCCATAATTAAAATCCTAAATGACTTGAGCATTCCCATTGATCATCCTTCTTGTGATCTGAGTCACAGATCCCCAGCAGCTGAAAACATATTTTCATACACATTTCACTTTATTCATTCATGTATGGCATCATTATCACTTGACACTAAATCACCAAGATCTGAAACTCTAAATCTAGCTTGTCTGAAAACAACTTCCTGTCCTATCCCATTATATTTCTTATTGTGACCTCAGCTCTTTTAACTCTCTCCACCTCAAATCTATTCCACATGAATCATGAGGTCACCAACCTGAGAAAAATTTGTGTATTTAGCTACGTTCCATGCCTTTCAGGATCCCCTCTTCCACGGCTTTCTGGAGTTAACTTTCTAAAACTGGTTATTGAGCCTGAAACACGAGGGAAGCATTAAAAAAAAAAGTGCACAGGCACAACTGGCCTTAAAGATGGGGATTCCTGACACATTCTGTGTCAACCCTTGTATTAGTCTGTCTTCATGTTGCTAATAAAGACATACCTGAGACTGGGTAATTTATAAAGAAAAGAGGTTTGATGGACTCTTAGTTCCACATGGCTGGGGAGGCCTCACAATCATGACAGAAGGCAAGGAAGAGCAAAGTCACATCTTACATGGTGGCAAGCAAGAGAGTTTGTGCAGGGGAACTCCCATTTATAAAACCATAAGATCTCATGAGACTTATTCACTGCCATGAGAACAGTATGGAGGAAACTGCCCCCATGATTCAGTTATCTCCACCTGGCCCTGTCCTTGACACGTGAGGATTATTACAATTCAAGGTGAGATTTGGGTGGGGACACGGCCAAACCATATCAAGCCCCTTTACTCTGTGTGGTGTTTACTCACCAGTCCCTCAGGGATTTTGCTTTCTGGTTCTGTTACAGCTTGACTTCTTTGTCAACTTTGATAACCATCCTTCTTTTTGTATTTTCTTATGTTTTGCTTTTCAGCTTTGCAGTAAAATTAACACATAAAACTTGTACACATTTAAGGTGTGCAAAGCAATGTTTTGAAATGATTACCACAATCACATGATTTAACATAGTCACCACTTCACATAGCTACTTTATATTTTTATGGTAAGAATACCAAGATCAACTCTCTCAGCAGATTTCACGTATACAATACACTGTTGTTAACTACAGTAATCATTCTGTATACTACCTCTCCAGAATGTATTCATCTTACAACTGCAAATTTGTACCCTTTGACCAATATCTCCACACCAACCCCCTTCCCTAGAAATCACTCTTTCACTCTGTTTTTATGAGCTCAACTTTTTTAGATTCCATATATATGTGGGATCATGAAGTATTTATCTTTCTGTGTCTGGCTTATTTCACTTAGCATAACATCCTTTAGTATCTTGAAGAGATGTTTTCACTGCAATGTTCATTGCAGCTTTATTCACAATAGCCAAGATATGGAGAAACCTAAGTGTCCATTGATGAATGGATAAAGAAAACATGATACACACACACACACACACACACAATGGGATATCATTCAGCCTTAAATAGAAGGAAGTCCTGCCATTTGTGACAACATGGATGAACATGAAAGGCATTATTCTAAATAGAATAAGCCAAATACTGAAAGACATATACTGCGTGACCACATAAATGACCTGAGTTCATTTTGTTCCATAGCATTCATTTACCCTTCCATAATTACCATTCTTATTCTTAGAATACCATTCCAGATTTGCTTATCTGTTTTTTTTTATTCTAAGATGAATATTTAGCAACAATGAACAACCCATTAGAAACTAAACTGTGTATGTTCACTATGGCCACAATGCCCCGGAGAGCTGGAAATGAGGGGGGCTCATGCCATGCACTTTGTATGTACTATGCCACCCAAACATCATTGCACCCCTGTGAAGCTGGTATCATTGGCCCCATTTCGGAGAAAAGAAAACAAAGACTGAGATTCATTAACCATTCGTTCATTTCAGTAATCAAAGTTTCATCTATCTATGTTCTAGATGCACCTAGCCAATGAGAAACACACCCACACCTCCAGCTGTAAATCTTATGCTTTCGAACTACAACTGTGTAATCCTCATTTGCACATAGAATTGAGGTTTCAGGAGGAGATAAGTTTTGGGTGGGTTCCAGAAAGATGGGATTGGAGGGGTAGAGACCAAGTGAGAACATTCTGAAAATGGAAAATGAGGAGGAGAAAGAGGAGAAAAAGGGCAAGGGGGTAGTCAGTCATAGGGGAGAAAATAATCTGATTTTTAGTGGGTGGAGAGTAAATAGAGAGAGAATCAGAAATGCAGGGTTCAAATGTCAGAACAACAGTTCAGCATTTTTGCATGATCTCTATGACATATGCTATTCCTATATGAAACAAATTTCTTTCTAAATTTTTTTCATTCTATCTGGAACTCCAGCCCTTCTTAGGACAAGCAGGAGAGAACATGAAAAAAGTTGCTTTATTGTACAGATATCTTAGAATTTTCTCTAATATGTGAAGAAAAATACACCTCAATGCTACTGCTAGAAAATAAGTGTTAGAGGACGGCATGAGGGTTACACAAGCAGAGTGGACACAGAATATGCAATTCCAGGATCCAGCAGAACAGGCTGTGTCGGACAGACAAATAATAGAAAGGAGGTAGACCTTCTTAAATAGTACTGTGTTTCTTAAAAGTGGGAGCGGCATTTCTTAAAGGTTAATTTTCTTAACAGAGAGTAATACTTTGGATTTTGCATTGGATGGTTAGAAGATATGAAGAGATGACAAGCTAGGAGGCCAGTTGGAAAGCTCTTGCAGTGACTTCAAGAATTAGCTCATTGGGGCCAGGTGCAGTGGCTCATGCCTGTAATCCCAGCACTTTGGGAGGCCGAGGTGGGCAGATCACGAGGTCAGGAGATCGAGACCATCCTGGCTAACACGGTGAAACCCCGTCTCTACTAAAAATACACAAAAAAATTAGCTGGTCGTGGTAGCGGACGCCTATAGTCCCAGCTACTCTGGAGGCTGAGGCAGGAGAATGGCGAGAACCCGGGAGGTGGAGCTCGCAGTGAGCCGAGAACCCGGGAGGTGGAGCTCACAGTGAGCCGAGATAGCGCCACTGCACTCTAGCCTGGGAGACAGAGCGAGACTCCGCCTCAAAAAAAAAAAAAAAAAAAAGAATTAGCTCATTAAGGCCTACTGTAAGGCAGATGTGATGGGAACATGGGAACAGAGGCTCTGACATAATGAGACACCCTAAAGAAAGAAAACATAAAACCAAAACCAGAACTCAGGAGCAGACTGGTTATTCACAGTAGAATCAAATACAGAGTTAAGATAGTTTTCTGATTCCTCCTTGAACTAGTGAATAACTGTGTCTCTGGCAGCCTTTTCTAATATTCAATTATACCCAGAGGCTGTCAACAATCCATGAAAAAGAGGCACATAGAATACTTACTTTCAGAAAACTAAGTCGTATTTTTATTAGCTGTTTTCCACGATAAAATAAATCTTACGTGTCACTTGCCCTTTATCAGGGATAAACACTATGCATTCATTGAGTATCAGAAAGAGGCCTTTGCTGTAAAGTTATCCAATTAAGGCCAGGAAGAGAGTTTAAAAGCAATCAAGGCTTTGAATAAAGCTCAGTGTAAATTGACCTTGTTCTTTTCTTCAGGCAGAAGCATCTTTGTGACTTCCAGACTGTGACATGTTTACTAAGAACGCGAGATCATATACCCTCAGTGGCTAGATGCCACCACTTTGCAGAATTAAAATCCTCAGGAGCTCGTTGAGTAAGTGCGTGATGTGATGTGTGCAACAAGACAGACACCATGGTTTACTGACCTTGCTTATTGACCAGCCGTGACTTCTTGCAGTAATAAGTAAACTCCTGTTCACAGTGCTCCGCACGGTTAATAGTGGCCTGAAGTTGCTCCATGCTGGCCACATACTCGAAAAACCCAGCATATGGGTTCTCTGGATTAGTATTTCTGACTCTTGTTAAGTCAGAGCCGTTGTGCTGTATGATGGTCCATGTAGTTTCTTGTATGCAGAAATGGGGGGAGAAAGAGAGGAGACCATCACTAGTCTGCAAAAGTTAAAATAAATAAAGAAAATCAAAATCACCTTTTATCTGAGTCAAATTTTTCTAATCATCAAACTTCTCTGAGAGGTAGAATCAACACAAATGGATTCTCAGAATTGTTAAGTTATGGTAAGTGATTATTTTTCCTGAAATATATACTATTGCCATGCATTTACAGTGATTTTATTTAACATTTTCATATAATTTAGCCACACAATATTTATGATGAAAAATATTACGAAATCTGATTATTTTTTGTGATATATTTTATTTCACTGAATTTGATATTCCATCTTTTTAAAGATGCATCATTATTTTATTTCACTGCAAGAAAGGAAAAAATGCTGCCTATTACAACTACAAAACATTATTCATCAACACATCCAAAATCCAGTGGTATCACAATATTAAAAAAAGTGCATATCAGAATTCATGAAATAGTTTATATTACATAATGTAAGCAGCCACTTTTCTACTCTTAACTACTATTCATAGTATCAGCAAAAATAAAGTCAAAATTTTGTAGCCCTCTATATACCTCTTTAATCAACATTTAACTATGAGTGTGCATCTTTTTAAAATTAAATTTAAAGTATTCATTTTGATATCATGTGATCTGCACAGTTAGACAGTACAATAGGAAGTTACTCTTTTGAATTGTATTCATCTGACACAGCATCTCAACTAACACAAAAGTAAAATATCTTTGAGTATATACTAGAGTTATCACTATTGGTTCCTGAATGTCTGTAAACATTTCCATCATGCTGATTACCAAAATTTCTTAGATGAAATAAAAATCCCACAATGTTTGTGACAGACAATAGGCATATTATATCTGCCCTTCAACTTTACCAGTAATAGACTTTATACTATATTTTCTGTGATATATGCAGACACAAGAACAGATAAATCAAAAAGCCTCTGATTTAGTAGGCAAAAAACAGAGTGAAAGTTGTCAAAACTCCACTACATATGTGCTGTTAAGTCACATAACTCTTCTATAATACAGAGGAATATCCCAAATTGGAGAAAAACAGTAATAGTAGGCAAAACGTTCCCCCCTCTTTTTAGCTAAGACATTCATATGGATCAACAATCCAAATAAGAAGGTATACTTTGAAAATTTCATTCCCATTCCTTTCCCAGCCATCAGAGTTTGGACTAGAGAGGTGGGCTAAAGCAGGCTGGACTAACGTCACAGACTTATTGCCTTCCACGTGTAGATTATTATTTTTCTGCGAAACAATAGTTGTTATTTTTGCATTTCCCTCTTGCATTTCAGTTCACCCTTCAACAGTAGAATGCTCTCAAACAGAACTTAATCTACCAGCCAGTGAAATTACGGGTGGCCAGCAGTACAATGTCGAAGTCACCAAGAGATCTGAGTTGCAGATCTGGCATGCATCTTGTGCCCTTAGGAAAGTCAGGTAAAACCTGAGCCTCCATTTCCAAATTTGGAAATTAAATTGGCAGAACGAGGTCTGAAATTCTATAATTTCAGCCAACTCGACCTTGGCTATTGGAAGTTTAAGGTTATTATTAACTAGACAAATCCGACAGCCTAGCCTCTGTTGGACTCTGTTTCTTTTGTTCAAAAAAACTATTCACCTTTTCTTGTGGTAAATCAATGGCATGCAAGAAGAGGCTAGCTACCAAGAGAGGCGGACAATATACCTGCTTGAAGCCTTTGTCTCTTTCCCTTCTGGATCACACTGAGTGAGACTTCCCTGTAGTTTAGCATCCACTGGGTCACAATTAACATCTGATTCTAAAGGTTTCTAAAGGTGTTGCAAGAGATTCAAGGCCACCGTGCCTGGCAACCATCAAAGAGTAGCTCGTATCAACGTTTCCTTTTGAAATTCTAAAATATTTCAATGTTATGATAGTCCCTGTAAGTGATTTTATTCTCTAATAAAAAGCACTACAAGGTATGATGCTAAACAGATGCCACACTTATCAGGCCATCTAGATTTCCAGGGCAGAACAGACACAAAGAAATTGTCACAATAGATTTTGAGCAACAGAGATAGGGGCCTTAAAAGCCAGGTTCCAAACCTCATGTGCTTCATTAATCTGGAAATCTCTGAAAAGTCTCAAATTAGAGCCTCTTTACTGTTCTTTCAGACATGGTTGAGTGATCTGAAGTTTCTACAAACACCTGTTCAGAAGTAAGAGTGGTAAAAGACACAGACTTCATCACAATTTGTAATTCAATACTTTGTGGTTGACTTTATCGGTCTTTCCTACCAGTCTGCAAGCTCTATGAGAACAGCAATAGTTTCTGATCTGGTAACAATCATATCTCCAGCACATAGCACAAGGCTTGATACAAAATGCAGAAGACATTTGTTGAAGACATGAGGGAATAAACAGATGAATGAATAAAAACAATGCATTGTCTAGATTAGAGCACAACCTCCTAGGTTATCCGATTCAGACACTGCAGTGGCTCTGACATTTTCGCTGCCTTTGAGTTGTTATATAATTCTATAAATTGTAGATAACTAATAGAATTGCTAAATAATGTTAAGTCTGAAACTGTGAAGGGCCCTGAGATGTTACCCTACTTGCAAGTTAAAGAGTTATCTTGCCAATACACATATTATATCTATCTGTTTATTGATCTGTCTACTACCTACCTACCTGTCTAATCTACACTAACAGACACAGAGGACCTCTGAATCAAGGACCATTTGCTCACAGAGAATCTCATCAGCATCAATCCCTCATACCTCAGTTTCCCACCTGCAGATGCAGTGAGTGCTAGATAGAGCTGTGCCTGCTGGAGTTGTACCGCAAGAGGAGGATCACAAAATGATGAGGCTTGGGCTTACAGAGGGTACTTAGCACACTCTCTCCTCCTCCCCTCCATAGAGTGATAGAGAGACTTTGGCTCTGGAATGTCACAAATTTTCTTTAGAGGAGAGAAGGTACAAGCCCTTAGGTTTTTATTACTCTTAGAAAATAAGCAAATGCATCTGGGGGAGATAAGCCTTTAAATCTCTTCAGAGCTATTCACTATCTCTAACTTCCAAGACACATTTAATCATCCTTTAACGTAGTTTGCCAGACACTTTTTTTTTTGTCTTTGCCTAGAAATAAAGGCACTGTTTCCTTACAACAAATAATTCTTGTCTGTAGACAAGCAACTTCTACCTGGTTGAGGTTCTAGTGACTTCCCTCCCCCATCATGGATGAATCCAGTGTTGCCTCCATATGCACATTTGTTTCCGTGTTCCTAACATGTAGATACATCTTTTCTTTGGATTCTCCTTTGAACAGGTTGTAATATCTTTCCAATTTCTTCATTAATAATGCATTTTAAACATCTTTAAAATTTTTTAACGTTTATTTTCATATCTACATGACAATCATGATTTTACTTGATTACAAATTATCTTTTACTAAATACAAAAAGAGTGGTAGGGTAAGGAGACAGGAAAATGAATAACAGATGGCTGAAATAGGCAGAAAGTCTACATTGAATGGTAGTTTGGGTCTACTCACGTCTTTTCCTGAAGACATTTCACTATTTGTAAATAAAGCAACTGAGTAATTAAGAACTTGATTTACCTTAGGCTGGCTGCTATTTTTTAGTGTGATAACAGTACAAAGAGAAAACATGCTGTTTAAGCAATACAGTTGCAAAGCTTGTGTTGCTTCATGCTTAATAGCTGAAGGTGATAGATGCGATAAAGACTAAGAGCAGGTAGGGAGTGCTGTGTTAAGGAAAGCAGGAGACAGGAGAGGAGACAGCTAGTCTTCTGGAGCAAAACCTGATGTAAATAGGACTGCATTTGAAAAATGGACAGTTATTTATTAACCCTCATAGCTGTTAAGAAGGCCTTTATTATTGAAATCTCTAAAAATAATTATGCTATTATAAGTCTTAAGCTCTCCAGCTTTCTCCTGAAATGGTCTCAGGACCTCCTATCTCAGAAGCACATGGGGTACTTGTTAATAATGCAGAGACCCAGGCCTTGTGTTCTAAACTTACTGAGTCAGGGAAACTAAACCCGGGAGTCTCCGTAATGGGGCCATGAGAAGGGGTGAGTTTAATCCATAGAGTTTTCACTTTTAGAAAAACTTGAAAGTCTCTGTTCCAGCACTCATCAATTTCTTCCCTCTGGAACAATCATCCTTACTGTACAATGTTTGATAATGAGAAACTTCTTGAACATGAAACAATTTCATTATAGAAAAAGCAACGAAGGCTGGGTGCAGTGGCTTATGTCTGTAATCCCGACACTTTGGGAGGCCGAGGCAGGCAGATCACCTGAGGTTGCGAGTTCCAGACCAGCCTGACCAACATGGAGAAACCCCATCTGTACTAAAAATGCAAAATTAATTGGGCGTGGTGGTGCCTGCCTGTAATCCCAGCTACTCGGGAGACTTAGGCAGGAGAAATGCTTGAATCCGGGAGGCGGAGGTTTAGGTGAGCTGAGATCGTGCCATTGCACTCTAGCCTGGGCAACAAGAGTGAAACTTGGTCTCAAAAAAAAAAAAAAAAGAAAGAAAAGAAAAGGAAAAGGAATTGCCACTGGGATTCACCTTATTCTAACTAATTATTTTTGAATTATGTTTGGAAAACTGTTTACAAAGAACTTTCAGCTTTTAACATCGTTTAAGAAACTATCCATTCAAAATAGAGATTTTTTTTGTATATTTTAGCTTATAATGCTTAGAGGCATTTTAATACATGTGGAATCATTTGACACTAGTTCTAGACTAATAACTAGATTTTTAAATAAGACACATATTTGCAAGTTAGTGATTCAGCATTTTGTCTTAGTTTCACCATACATGATCTATGTAACTAGAAGATATGTTCTTGGCTGCAAGCAATGACATACTGATAGAAGGTAACCCTTCCTAGTGGAAAAACTTTCAGGCTGTGAGAAAAGAGACCAGAGCTTGATCTATTCCTACCAATATTTTCACCCTGCTACACTTA